ACTCTTTCCAGAAAGACACTTCCTCTAACCAGGCACTGTCTTACCAAACACAAATCTCCCCTTTCTCCTTGCTGACAGACCTTGATTTTGTTCAGAGCCTCAACGTGCCAAGCCCGAAACAATGGATTATAAGTGTTCTTTGTTCACTCATTTCCCAGCCCCTCCTTACTGGTTATAACCAACGAGATCTAAAGGGAAATATGTGGGAGAGGATTCTGAAAAATCTTTCTCTTTCCCAATTAAAAGTAACAGACAGATATGGTGAGTTTACCCCTTTCTTTTCTTCTTGCTGTGAAAATGGTTGGTATGTTTGGAGCAACAGCAGTCATCGTGTGACAATGAGGTACCGAAGATGAGAAAGAGAACCAAAGCACTAAGGACAGCGGAGAAGGAAAACAGAAAGAGCCTACGTCCTGCCAAATCAGTCAAGGAATCTCACCTACAGAAAGCCCAATATTAAAGCCACTATTAGTAGGGTTTTCTGTCACTTGCCAGTGAACTTATTCCCACTTGATACCACAAGTACTGATGAATACCCAGAAGTGAGCTCTTAGGTACCACTATCTAAGAGGAAATACTTGTAGTGAGCTACAGCTCAGTGATGTGTCACTATGAGTAACAATCTAGAGGCCTATCTCCCTCATCACCCTGATAGCAAAGAGTGGACTAAGGATCTCTAAGTTTTGTAAAAGCTACAAGAGAAGCAGAGAACTATAAGAGTTCTCAAGGTCACCAAAAGGAAGAAATTTAAAAACTGATCCATTCAGTAAGAGCCTGTTATGCAGCAGGTATTTTGGCATACTGACTCTTGTACTTTCAAAATTAATCAAAGTACCTGTATCATACACATTTTTATCACTCACCCCTTCTCAAATGAGACACACTGCGTGTTCCAAAGATAGTAATAAACTTTTCTTCATCTGTTCCCCATTTAAGTTCTCCAGCCTGAAACAAAGCCTGTGAAAATTTCAACCTCAATTAATAAATTGTTCTCCCATCTCATTTCCAGGTTCTTAATCACACTTGTGTTTTATTCCCTGAATATTAATTTGCCTGATTCATCATCTTATATCTTTCAATTCTGATGTTTCCTACTCTGAAACTCAGCTCACTAAGTTTGGGGCTACTTGGGAGCTTGCCACTAAACTGTGTCAAAGCAATAAAGCAGAGCAATGGTGCCAGGTTAAATGTCCCCAAAATGTCTACCATGACTTCCAATCATTCAGGAGCAATGATATGGTTGGTGGAAAGTTCTGATTACCTCACTGCTGATACATCCATTTACAGACTGGGAAAGTTTAACTAGGAGCTAAGGGGTCTGCGTTTTCTGTTTTGCTTTCCCTGTAGCTGTTCAGTAATACATGATAAAACTCCATATTCTCTCTTTACAACTGAAATTTAACAAATGCTAGCTACAAAAAGTTTTCCCATTTGTAAGAGATCACAACGAATTTTTAAAACATTGTGAGTATAGCACAGTGCCTGGCATACAGCAGGCACTTAACATATACTTGTTGAATAGTTTGAGTGTCTACATTTACCTTTTTACATGGAAAAGAATATATGCTTTTCAATGTCCATATCATTGCTGAAAAAATTATATACAAACATCATCATTAAATCTGAGTCCATTTATTGGGTTGTTGATTATTTATTAAAACCCAAAGAATCAATCTTTAAAATGTCTATACTACCCTTTTAATCATTTCAAGGTAAGTATACCTATTAAAGCAAGCCAAACGCAATTTGCTGAAACTACTACTCCGAGCTGCCTTTATGGCCACAAGTGGCAAAACAAATGATACGAGGTGATCAAAGCACGTGTTTGGATGTAGAAATTTTGATCACAGTATGTTTAAGAATGTAGACTACGCTACTAGAGATCTATTTTGTATTACACTTCCAGAGAATCATCTCTATGCTCAATATTGAAATTAATTTATTTTAATGATAAAAATACACAACATCAATCCTGGTCATGTGAGCATGCTCTTCAAAACTAAAAAGGGTGTTACTACGAAAATCATGCAAATATCTAAACCTTAGAACTATATCAGGGTGCTGTAGACCTCTCTTAACATAACTTTTTAAATCTAATTACAAAAATTACACGCTCATTGATAAATTTTATAAAACAGAGAAAAAAACATAAATAAGGAAATTTAAATTACCAAGAATATCAACATCCCCAAGATACTGGCTACTACCTCTAGTATGTTTTCCACATACAGATGAGATATACATATACATTAATGCCTAAAAGTGGTGAAGGGCTCATCCTGTACAATACTGCAAGCACTGCTGAAGCCTCCTTTCTTATCAATTGTTCTATATTTCTAGGGATGTTCTCTAGTAGCTGTAGCAGTTGTATGGAAAAACCTGGTGAGATGGCTATTTTTAACTATAATCTCTTAATTTTCTTGGAAGAATTAAGTTTGGGATCATTACCTAGTCTAAAACTACTACTAACTGAATCATATGCAATAATAATGATGGTATCATCATATAGAGCAATACTTAAAAGTCTTTTGTTTTGTCTTGTCTTAACGTAAGGGTTAAATGAGGCTGCCCAATATCCACAGAGCTCTTCTGGATGAGGGACCCTCACACCTCCTCACCCTCCCCCTTCCCTCAGAGGGGGCTTTACAGTTTAGCCCAAGCAGTTTGATAACCTCTGGTTCAGTGCAAAGTACAGAGGTTTTGGAATCAAAACAGAACTGGTCCAGGGCTTCCCTGGTGGTGCAGTGGTTGAGAGTCCGCTTGCCGATGCAGGGGGTACGGGTTCGTGCCCCGGTCCAGGAAGATCCCACATGCCGCGGAGCGGCTGGATCCGTGAGCCATGGCCGCTGAGCCTGCGCGTCCGGAGCCTGTGCTCCGCAACGGGAGAGGCCACAACAGTGAGAGGCCCGTGTACAGAAAAAAAAAAAAAAAACAGAACTGGTCCTGTCCTATCTGTGAGTCTTAGATGAGTTACTTAATCTCTTCTTGAGCCTCAGTGTCTTCACCTACACAGTAGGAATAATATTTCTATAGAGTTATTAATGGAGTTATATAACTCACATAATGAATGCACTGAACAGTGTCAGGCAATCAATAGCAGGTACTCAATAAGCATTGATTCCCTTCTCCCTCCTTCCTTTAAGAGTTCAACTTTCTCTCCAGAGAAAGCATAAAACAAGGATTTGGTAGCGGAGAAAGTAAAATCAGTTCAACGCATTAAAAATGTTAAAAAGTTAAGTGAATTAACTACAGAATGTCCAATTCCCAGGTGAATGACTCATTGAGGCTTATCAAATCCCTGAAATAACAGGAATCCTCTTAGTGCCAGGTATCAGTAGGGAAAAAAATTCAAATGCTTATAAAAGGGCCCCTTAGTTGGATGACTCTCAATTAAGAAATCTGAAATTCCCATCAGTGATAGCAGCCCAGGTACCCTTGCTACAAGGTATAATTGGGTGTGTTCCTTTTTTATAATGCTGAAAGGGTAATTGTTTTCAACAGGCTGAATTAATTAATAAGATTTTTATGAATCAAAGATCAATAGCCAGTCTGTAGTCTGTGTTGTCCCTGGTCACTGAAAAGGCAAAGAAAGCCTGGATACTATTTCAGGGGTATGTCAAAGTAACTTCATAAGTCAGTTTTCAGATGTACGAAGTTTCCCCTTCAGGGTTCTGAATGGTCATATCCCCTGCAGCAGAGGTTAAGTGATGCCTATACAGCCTCAGTACTCAAAATGTGGCCCCAGGACCAGCACGGGCATCACCTGAGGGCTTGTTAGAAATGCAGATCCCAGGCCCCACCCAGACCTACTGAGTCACAATCTGCAGTTTAAGGAGATCCCCAAAGGATTTATAGGCACATTAAAGTCTGAGAAGCACTGCTCTACAGTGAGTGCTCCAAGCAGAGAAATCAATGAAAACGAGGTACAAATGTACTGTTCCCGTTCAGTAGCCTCACACTGCAGCAGTGCTCTCGTCACACCACCAGCTGTGCTGGGAAACCTGCCCACCGCCCGCTAATGCAGGCCTCACTGCAGTCGTCTGAGACTATTAAGCTGCTCCTTTCACTGTGACCACGACCCCTGAAAAGCATCCAGAAGTCCCAGTCCTGAGAGCAGGAGCGTGAGAACCAGCACATCTCCTACAGACCCACAGACAGTGCAAGCCTGGAAAGCAACAAGCTCGTCTCAGCAATGAGCAAAGCCCCTAACAGCTCGGGAGTACGGGTTTGTAAGTAGGCAGGGTTAAGTGAGATCTTTCCTTCCAATCTATACTTACTAAGCCTGTTTTACGGTAGCGGAAAGGAGAGAAAGGAGCTAACGGGTAAGAACGCCAAGACTGTTGTCTAGTGAAAGAGGAAGGGCTTTGGGGTCAGATGGGCCCAGGTGGAAATTCCAGCTCCATTCCCACTCAGTGGGGGCCATGGGCTTGTTTCTCGAACCCCTGAGCTTCAGTTTCCTTATCTAGAAAACAGAAATGATCCCCTCTATGTTAGAGTTATGCACTGGGTCACTCGTCAGCAACTCATAGTTACTAAGTGCTAACCATATGCTAGGGGCAAAGGACACAGATTAAACTGACAGCTCAGAGTGCCCTGGGTGGGCAGTCAAGTAAATAGGCAGCTTCAATATTAGGTGGCAAGAACTGTGGCAGGAAGCTTGAGATGCTATAGTCTCCCCTGTAAGGAGCACCTGACGCACACCTGGGGGTCAGGCAGGGAGACCTGAAAAGCTGCTAACTTGAGGACTGACCCCTGAAGAGGAATTATTTAAGGGACGTACGTTGTTTTTTAGATATAATGCTATTGCACAGTTGCTGAAGTATAGTGTAAACATAACTTCTATATGCACTGGGAAACCAAAATAATTCATGTAACTTGCTTTACTGTGACAGTCACTTTAGTGTGGTGGTCTAGAACCAAACCCACAATATCTCCAAGGTATGCCTATATTTGAAACATGTGACCAGAGAGACAGGACTACGATATGTGATTCTAGGAACCCAAGTAATTCCTTTATTACCATTTTCCAGTTTTCAGGTCTCATGTTTCAAATTTCCTAACACTTATTTCCTACATTTGACTACTTTGTAAACCATACTGAGACGACAATGGAACTTAAAAGCCACTTAAGTACAAAATTTCATTAGGGAGTGACTAAAGAGCAACTGACAAAAGAACAATCCTGTTTGGAAGTCTATCAAAGGAAAGGTGGAGGTATTTTCAAATTCTACAATAACGTGTCATCTATTATGTAATAAAACACCATTTACCACTAAAATATTTTTTCTTCTTTATCCTTTTCTACGAAGAGACTGCCACATTGGCAGTAGAATCCATAACACCTGGTTTTCTTGTAAAATTCTCTATTTTGAGAATGTCCCATAATGTAAAGGAAAATAACATATCCAGGTGGAACTCATTATTTACATGTAATTTATTTTATTTCATTTCAGCCTTGGGATAAAACATTTTGTTGGCCATCTACTTACATGGGTCTTATGATTTGTAAACGACCCGTTAGACTATTTTTAGATGCTATTACACATATTATGATTTGCCATTAGCATGGATTCTTTTTTCATTTATGTCATAATAAAGTCATCACAGATTAAGTCTCACTCACCTGAGCATCTTGTTCAACCTGTGCTTCATCAATTCCAGCATCAGGGTCTCTATTAGCCTAGAAGAGATAATATGTCATGTTATTGCATTACATGAATATTTCTGTTCTAAAGAAAAAACGGTTCCACCTAATGGTTATGCACATAAAACTTTTTCTCTTAGGAATAATATGCATTAATGAAGATCTTATCAATCCTACAATATTTTTACATTATCACACAAACACTGTCCAAAACCAAAACCAGCCTGACCCTCTGGATTTTAAAATCTATGAATAAAAGAGGACAGTGATATCCAAAAAAAAACAAAAAACAAAAAAAAAACTATGAGTTAGCTATTACGAGTTCAGGTTAGATATTCTGAAACACAAACACACACTGGCACCACACAGCCAGAATCAAGTACCAGAAATAATTAAAAGAATTTTAAGTGACTTTACTTAACTAGATTCAGACCAGTCCGGCTTCAGAGTTTTTAAACCACAAAGAGCCTCCACCCAATACCTGAAGGAGGACCACCAACATCCTCTGGTAGTACCCTGAAGTGTCCCCCACCACATCATCTTCCAGGCTCGAGCCATATTCTGCAACAGAATAATTTCACACTTATTTACAGCTTCTTTCAAGTAGAAAAGGATATCTTGCCCCATTAATCAAATGGAAACGACATAAAGGAAGAAATATTTGATTAGCATAATAGTTCATGCTTCTCTGAGCACTTCTGAAGACTGAAGGCAAATGTTTTAAGTGGTGAGTGGCTGGAAGAAAAGAAATTAAAGTCTCCCAAAAGCACTCAGTTCAAACCTAAATCATGACTCGGCCATTTAGAAATGCTCTCAACCAATAGTTATTAATCTGTTATTAATCAGATACATGATGGTACTAGAAAGTCTCTAAAATACAATCAATCTTAATTTTAAACTTTGTTTCCCTTTCTTTCAAATGTTTTACATGATTCATCTCGAAAGGTCTTCCCCTTTAAATATTCTGAGGTTTTTTTTTTTTGGGGGGGGGCATGGTCATTCCTTCCCCTAATAAGATTATTTTTCCTCTGCAACAAATAAAGTTAACTCTGAGAGACAGCAGTGATATTTTAAAATATGCCCTTCTCCCCTCCATTTCCAGCTATTCAACATAAAGCCACAGCAAAGGGGAAAACCAGGATCTACAAGAGTCTACAGGCACTTTTCACTGTCTCTCAACCAGCTGCCATTGAAGGAAAGGAGGTATTACTCTAAGGCATTTAAACATTTCAACATTATTTGAAAGGAGAAAAACTTTAAAAGTTTGACACTTCTAAAGATACAAGAGAGATACATATCTATTTCAATCAGTTGCTCAAATACAAAACCTTGAAGGAATTTTTTATTCCTTCCACTACTCCAACACCTATATATAATCAACCATCAAATCCATTTAAATATTTCTCCTCTCTCTGATTGATTCGCCTCATACCTCCCACCAGCCCAGGCTGAGCCGTAACTGCCCAGCTTACCTCTCCCAACACAGCTACCTAATCAGCCTCTTAATTCAAACCTTCCTCCCTCAATTGTCCCTTTCATACTCTACTATCCACTCAGGAGCTTACAATGTTTTTGAACCAAGTCCAAACTTCTAATCCAGTCATACAAAACCATCTGTAACAGAGCCTAACTGCACTTATTCAGTTTATCTCCACAATGGACATGCACATTCCCTCCACTACAGTCACATTCTCTTTGTTCTCTCAGCATACTTTTCTCAAACTGGTCTCCATGCCATGGCAGACAGTGGGTGGACCTTGACCAAAAATGCCTTCTTCACCCACTCGAAACCTATCTAGTCCTGAAACCCTGGCTCAGTGTCTGACTGCACTGTGAAGAAGCCTCTCCTGACATCCAAAGCCAAAATGACCTCTCTTCTCTGAATGAATTCTTTCATTAAACATGTTCGATGTTTGAATTTTACTATCCCGTAACTCTTGCAGTTTTTTCTAAGTCATGTCATCCCTAAATAGATTGCAAACTCCTTGAGGACAGGAGCTTTGTTACGTGCATCTTCTGCATCATTCATGACAGCCAGTACGCTGCTGGACACATAGCTAGTGCACAATAGCACGGCAGACTGGATGGACCACACACAGTTACTATACCTCTTGTGGCACCCCATCTGTCACCCAGCAGCACAAAGGCTCATTCATCAATGTCAACAACCCCAGAAGGAGATATCTGAATATTATATCAGGTAAAAACTCAAGCGTGACCACCTGCAGCTGAGATACATGTATCACCTCTGCCTTAGTGGTTGGGTCCTATCCAACTACAAAAAGAGGAGCAGGAAAGAAAGATTCCAGCGCTTCAAAAGGTAATTGTTGGGCTTCCCTGGTGGCACAGTGGTTGAGAGTCCGCCTGCTGATGCAGGGGACACGGGTTTGTGCCCCAGTCTGGAAAGATCCCACATGCCGCGGAGCGGCTGGGCCTGTGAGCCATGGCCGCTGGGCCTGTGCATCCGGAGCCTGTGCTCCGCAACGGGAGAGGCCACAACAGTGAGAGGCCTGCGTACTGCAAAAAAAAAAAAAAAAAAAAAAAGGAATTGTTTAGTTGCCATAAATTTCACACCATTCTAACTTGCTGGGTTACAGGGTCATTTCTAAGATTAACCAACTAATGCCAAGATAGGGACCCATTTTCCTAGCTGCAGGCACTAGGCTTGGAGGTCTGCTGACTGAGCTGACAATCTGGACAGTCTGATCCTCCTAAGTCACGCAGAGGGCAGAGTCTTTTACAGAAAATCTGATGAGAAAAGAACTCCCTACTTTTACTTTTTATTACATTTTCTTGGTTCCATTAACAGGATATGCTTCAGATTGAAATACAGATTTTTTTTTCACGCAAAAAAAATTTAAAAATCCAAAAGAAAAGACACCAAAAAGAAAAGTCAGAATGCAGAGTAGTCAAGCACTCCCCTTAGCTAGAATGACATACATTTACTCAGACATTATCGACTCTGATTTGGACAAGGTTTCTTTTCCTTTTTAGTAATTCTTAACTTCTACCAACATAAAACTGAAATTTTTAAGGAAGAAAAACCACTTACATCTTAAACTTAATGTGAAAGAGACAACCTGTATATCCCAACACTGACTGTAAATCCTATATGAAAATAAGTTCCATCCTCAACAGAAGTTTCTTACAAATACTAAAGTAGTTATAAGTATAGAAAAAGGCAGTCTCTTCCCTACTGAAAGAGAAACTAGCTTGAATGGTTGCTTATTTGTTTACTCATTCCTTCACTCATCCAGAAATCACGTATGGCCTGCCCTCCTATAACTCCAAAGAACTTCATTCACTTTAGAGAAATGACAAAGTGACAGCGGAAGTGAAGGGAGATGTAATTCGAAACAGTTACCTTCTTCATAAACTTGCTTTATGGCTCTCAGTTCTTCAGGGGTCCTTGAGGCAATAATTTCTGTCAGGACTTTTTCATTTGTCCCAGCTCCCTGTTTGGAGATTTATTTTTAATAGAAAAAAACATGCTAATAAGATTAAAAAGAAAGTGATTTTCCCAGAATAGATGTTACCCCAACTGCATAAATATATATATATTATCCAATATAACATTCACTTTCTATATGAGTTCTATTAGTTATAGACATACGAAATTTCAAATTAGTTTTCTTTCCAAAGACAATTTTATCCTTTTTTGCCTAATGAAAAAAATGTTTATTGTATGAATGTGTCTACATATACGACATATAACAGATTACATAAATTTGTAATTTTATCAGTTTAATTCTAAATAGTTTTAAAGGGAAACATTTTAATGAAACAGGAAATAATAAAAAGGCTGAAATAGTAAAAATGAAAACTTTACATAAATTTACATGGAAGAATACTGATACTTAAACAATATGTACCTCAAAACATAAACAACCCTGCCCTGAAATTAAGTTCTCTATGGATCACAGGGAAATTCTGCAACACAGGTAAAAATAAATATAGCATGGCTTGGTTATTAGGAATCAGTTATTGGATCAGCATAAAGGAATTGGGACTTGCTTTCTGGATTTTTAAAGAATAATTGTAGTTGGTTTTCCTTTTTCTGATTATAAGTCATATCTACACTACTAAATTAGAAGATACAAGCAATGACATAGCTGAACTTAATTTTAAAAGATAGCATATTTAAGCCTTAATTTCCTTATACTTCTGTTGCTTTACCAAAAAATCAAACACTGAAAGAACTAGGTTTATGCTCGGGCAGAAATTTAGCCACTGCTAATATTTCAGAAGGCTGCAAAAATGCCCATTTCCAATAACCTAAGATTTTATTTATTCCAAAGAATCACTGTAGGAAAATGAAGAAGCACAGAAAGGTTCCTAACTGGATAAACCCTCTCCTCCCTCCACCTGAGCCACATCATCTCCTTGTTGTTAATTTCAGTCTGTCCATTCAAAACCTCACTACTAGTGACTGAGTTATTCCCTGTCCCATAAGTCTAAACAAATGATTCAATGTAATCACATTTATACAACATTGCGAACACCAGGCAAGGGGATATACATTTAGTTACTTGCTACAATGAAATTATATCAAGTTTACCAGCTGTTTCATTTTAGTATATAGAAGTACAGGAAAGAAGGAAAGGGTATTAGAAAATCTTTCTTATCTCAAAATTCTCTCCAAAGCTTCATCTTTTATGCTAAAACGATTAACAATATTATTGTTCCCTAATCAGGCAACTTTCTAAACTAAAAGATAAAATACCTAATCTGTAACATTTTTAAAACATATCTCAAAATTAGAAAACAAGCATGAAAATAAAGTACAAAAGGGTGTAAAATACACTAAAATTTTTAAAAACCACTACTACTGAGTTAACTATACAAAAAGACTAAATGATACACTTGTCATTTTCTCTCTCCTTTTATTGCCTCCTACGCAGTTTTGTCCTTCAAGAAACCCTCAGTGAAATAATTCAATTTGTTTTAATATAAAAATACCATAACCTGTTGTATAAAAAAAAATAAAATAAAATAAAAAAAAAAGAAATAGCTGTTAGAACAGCTAATTGTCATGTATAATGACCATAATAGACTGATGTGATGATTTGTATGTTCCAAAAAAAATAATAAATAAATAAATAAAAATTAAAATACCATAAAGTAATTACCAACACAAAATAATATTATACACATGACAGGAATATTCCTTGCACTCATCCTTTCACCTTAAGAGCATGCTTCAGTTCATAGGCATCGTAAAGCCGAGAGGGTTTCATCAGAGCCACAATTAATTTTTCAAATTTTCCAGTCAGTTCTGATTTCAGGTCATCCAGAAGGTCCTAACTCACAGAAAATATAAACTGGTTAACCATGCAGAAATTTTAAGGAGGTTCTTCTTAAATATGAACGATAGCCCTTTGCTCTAATGAATTCTTTACATTGCTATCTCCAAGTAGAAGACACATGAGCTAAACAACACCCTGTGGCTTTTAATAATGTACTTTTGACATCTGACCTTAAGCTAAAGCAAAGCCACTCATGTGTCAAGGTACTTGTTTTTAAGATGTTTTTCTTAATCTCAGGGTTCTTAAAAAATGAATGCTTTTTATAAAAAATATTTATTTTAAAATATTTTAAAATAAGCCTAAAATATTTTTAAAATACTCTTCTGAGAAACATGTCTATCTCAAAAAAATAATTTCCCCAAAATATCATAATGCATTTTTACAAAGGACAAAATTTGGCCTATCATACCTAAACAAAACAATGTTTTCTTTTCTCTCCATATCTAGTAATATTCTAATACATATGTAATAGATTATGTTCATTACTATGCCCCTGACTACTGCAGGACAGCTGCTATTATGGGGAACTTGCATAATTATAAAGATAAAAGCAGTATTTCTCATCCATTTCAGTTTCAGCACACAGGCAACTAGAATTTGTGTTTAAAATACTTGCTTTTTTTTTTTCTTTGCATTTGTTTCTCGAAATAATGAACAAAATTTTTCAGAATAATAAAACTACATTTAAGTTTTTCATGTCTACTGAGTCATTTAGTGACAAATTTAATTTTTACTTTGAATTGTTAATCAAATAAGAACATTTAAATCAATGAATTAAAAACTCATTTATTAAAATATCACTCCAAAAGGAACCAAGACTGTGACTGTGTCAGAGCAAAACATATTGCAATACAGGTTTACACCTGGAAAATAATACAACAATCCTCAGTGGGGAACACAGAAGGAAAGAAGGGCAGTTATGCCCATTGGGATCTTTCAGCACCTATACAGTGTCAAGTGAGGAAAAACAATCATATGAGGATAAGTTGAGTGAGCATTTTAACCAACAGCTGATAACTAAGAAACAAACTAGAAAAGAAGAAAGGAGGAATAGGAAAGTCAGAATCATAAGATTAATAATATTTACAAAAGAATATTAGTAGATTTCAAACTAGTCTTAAAAGAGAAAGCTGCTCTCACATTCCACCTTGGGATAAAGTACAGTCTTACCCTGCCAAATAGAGTTTTAAAAGCCACAGCGATCTCCTGGCGCTGAGCATTACTGCGGGATGTCAGCAGAGTCAGGATGCTCTCCTCATCGGTGCCTGCAATTATGTTCCAACCATTACATCCCGGCTCCCCAGTCCCACTCTCTCAATAACCTTTGTAACCAGCTCCCCAGTCACTTTAATTCCTTGCCTCATAAAATATATTTTATTAAATAATTTATTAAACTATAAAATTTACAGTAGCAAAATGTTATTATTTCCAACAATACATACTACCCCTACACATTGTGAAGGAGACGCAAAAATTCTCCTGACTTTTTAAAAACTGAGTGCACCTAGCTTTTCTTGCAACAAATAATTACTCAAATAACAGCTCTTCACAAGGCATGATGTGTTGGGTGTTCCAGGGGGTTGAGAAAGGAGAAAAGATACAGACCTTGGTTTCAAGTTATGAACAATTTAGGGTAAAAAATACAAAATTTTTTTTGTGAGGTAAGGCAGAATGTGACAAGGGCCTCAGGAGAGGTCCAGGTGTTAAATGGGGTTCAGAGGAGGTTCTCGTAGCTGAAAGGCAGAGGAAGACAGTTTTGGGAAAAGCTTCATGGAGAAGGTGACACCCACCCAAAACAGTCTCGAAGGATGAAAAGATTTTGACAGGCAGTGATGTAAGGAAGAAAGACAGGCTTTTAGAATCCAGGAAAAGCTCAACAGTAGGAAAATACAGAGCTTTCCTGAATAGCAGATCACCTGGCATGGTTGGATCAGAGGACAAATCAGGCAGTAATGTGCGCTGAGACCAACAAGGTGGGCTGGAATACCAGGGAAGGCCTTACAAGGCCAGAAAGCCTGCACCTGATCCTGCTACAACAGGAAATCTCACAAGACGTTCAGAATGGAGAGTGATGGGGTCAGAGCCAAGTTTGAGGAAGATGAATCCCTTCACATGGACACTGGTACAGAAGGAGCCTGAGGACAGGAGGATTAATTATATGTGGAAGTCCTCAAGATGAGAGGTTTTTAAACTGCAAAAAAGGAAATCTGAGAAAGAGAAGACAGTGGGATGTAAGAAACTTATAGAACTGGATATCTGATTGGACACTGAGAGCAAAAGGCTGCACAGCTGATCACCCTCAGGAATGTCTGTTTATCTATTGAGTCAGCTACCATATGGGTAAAGCTGAAAAGCTAAAAAAACAAAGAGGCTGAATTTAACTCCTGTTTGGTTCTAGAGACTAAATACTAGGGGTGGTCAGTCATTTTTTTTGTTCCTTTAATGTTTCTCTCTATATATGTTCAGCTTAAAATATTCTAAAGTTAATCTTACTGTAAAACAATGACTTTTTTGTTCAGAAAAACAAATGTCACATTTTTTTTTAGAACAAAAAGAAGGCTGAATTTACCCAGGCCTTTCATGGCCTTCCGAAGAGTTTCTGCATCGGCCCGCTCATCAAATCCAGGGAAGTCAGTCACAGTGCCTCTGAGCGCCTGACACAGGAAAAACAGCAATATTATTCACAGCATGACTAGTACGATAGACAACATAAACAGTAAACTGCTTGCTCTGTTTCATGTTCAGACTTTACATAAACTTATCATTTGATAAGATATATCAATATAACCCCATTTGAAATGGGAAACAGACCATTACAATGTGGATTAGCAGTGCACCAATTCAGTGCACGAGCTCTCCTGGCCCACCTCCGATTCCATTAGCAGGAAGGCTGGCTTCCAAGGCCCTCTTCCTTCAGGCATCGCCCCAGTGATCAAGCTCCACTAGCACCTCCTGGTTCACGGAGGGCACTTCCTTGCAGGCTTCATTCCCATTAAGCCTCTCGCCACTTTGATCTGGGAGCATGCTGAGCCTGCATTAAAACTTGAGGCCTTTTGTGGCACATATATACAGTGGAATATTACTCAGCCATAAAAAGAAACAAAATTGAGTTATTTGTAGTGAGGTGGATGGGCCTAGAGTCTGTCATACAGAGTGAAGTAAGTCAGAAAGAGAAAAACAAATACGGTATGCTAACACATATACATGGAATCTAAAAAAAAAAAAAATGGTCATGAAGAACCAAGGGGCAAGACGGGAATAAAGATGCAGACCTACTAGAGAATGGACTTCAGGATACGGAGAGGGGGAAGGGTAAGCTGGGACGAAGTGAGAGAGTGGCATGGACATATATACACTACCAAATGTTAAACAGCTAGCTAGTGGGAAGCAGCCACATAGCACAGGGAGATCAGCTCAGTGCTCTGTGACCACCTAGAGGGGTGGGATAGGGAGGGTGGGAGGGAGGGAGACGCAAGAGGGAGGAGATATGGGGATATATGTATATGTATAGCTGACTCACTTTGTTATAAAGCAGAAACTAACACACCATTGTAAAGCAATTATGCTCCAATAAAGATGTTTAAAAAAGAAAAAAAAAAAACTTGAGGCCTTACCCTAGGCACTGAACTCTAAGCAATGTTCTTAATAAATCTAGTCCTGTTTCCTTATACTTACTTAGGGATTTTAAAACCTGAAAAGATTTTCAGTAGCTCATGTGCCAGAAGAATACAAATTTCTGAATTTAGAACTTTTAAAGATATATTAGAAGATACTGTTTGTAAGAGTTCCTATTTTATGTTATCATATATAGTACTTTTAATCATCCAAATATTTTAATACCTCCAAAAACTGTTTGTAGTATAATTAGATCTTTGGAATCAGAAGGCTTTATTAATACTGAGCCATAAATTTTTATCTTATGATAAAGGGAGGCTCCCAGGATTTATTTTTACCAATAAATGTTCTTGAAGTACCTCAGAACTCCTGTCAAGGTTCCATCCAAAACTGAGAAATAAACAGCTATAAGGGTTGGGGACTGAGAAGACTTGTCTGGTTTACCATCACTTCTGTTTTATTATGAATGCATGGAAGCACGATCACCTACAAGGAAAAAATTTCTCTTCCACCTTAACATCCAACTGCTGCATTTGCCTACAATATCTTAACACCAACCACATTAAAAAAAAAAAAAAACAGACAACAGAGAGACATATCCATGGGGAAGAACTTGCATGGGACACAGCACCAGAGGTCAGCTCTGAGACCTCTCTTCAGTGGCACTGCATTCCGCCTCCTGAAAAAGTAGCACTCAGGGCTCCAGAAGACAGACTCTCTCCTTGACCAAACTTCAGACAGGCTCCTCAGAGCACACTTTTTGACTAGGACTGGTCTCTAGCCTGCCAAGCCCAGTTGTAGCACGAATCCTGCTAAAGTCAGTTTACAGAGAATTCCGCAAACCTTAATATCTGTTCAAGTTCCTCATCCTCCATCTTTGACCTATAAATCCATGGGCTGCCTTAAGCAAGAATCCTATTAGGCCAGTTCAGCAAGAATCCCTCTACCCTTAATGTCTCCTCTTAGTAACTTTCCATCCACTGACCCCCTTCATCCTGCTCACTGGTTGTAAGTTCCCAGCTACCTTTGCTATACTTGGACTTGAACCCAATCTCTTCTCTTCCATTGCAATAGGCATGACCTTTACTGCAGTAGTTTTGAAAGTCTTCTTTACCATTTAACAAGTACGAGAATAATTTTTTCTTCAACAATAGTCTCCTCTTGTTCAAGGAAAGAAGAAAGACTCTTCTTTCCTCTGAACAGAGTCAGCCTTGAGAGAACCTACAGGAAAACCTTAGTGTTGTAATTATGTGGCCAAAAGCATACAATCCAAGAGAAGAGGTGTTTCCCAGTTTCATCTCCCAGGCCCAGAGTGTTGACTGGTAGCAGCTTTCATCCCCGCAAGCCACCCCCACACACACACCCACAGCCAAACAAAAGATTGTGGCCAAGTAGGAAAAGGAGGGGCAGGGAAGCCTCACTTATCTCATGGGGAGGTCATGAAACTAAGCCAGAGCTCTTCATTCTACTAAGTGGGAAAATGCGATACTGTGATTTATAATAAGAAACATATATATTTGGTCTTTGTCCCCATTTCCTGCACAGACCTCCTAAAGCCCTTGGAATTCCCGGATGATAAGAGTGATAAATTTCATAATGATAAGAGCTTGATATTCATATTCAAACCCCCTTCAATCACACCTGACTTTGTTAATGAGGTGACTTTTGGGAAGCATCTAAGGATGGGGGTTTGGGGGCTGTTTGCCCGGGGAACCAGCCATGCGATTAGAGGGTTGGAACTTTCAGTCCCACACCCACAACCCCACCTCAGGGAAGAAAGAGCGGCTGGAGATCGAGTTCAATCACCAATGGCCAATGATTTAGTCAATCATGCCTATGTAATGAAGCTTCCATAAAATCCAAAAGGACACGGTTTGGAGAGCTTCCAGGCTGGTGAACACACGGAGTTGTAGGGACAGTGGCTCACTCGGAGTGGGCCCTGAAGCTCCCTGCCCCTTCCCACACACCTTGCCCTACGCATCTCTTCCATCTGGCTGATCCTGAGCTGTGTCCTTTTATAATAAACCAGTGAACTAGTAAGTAAAATGTTTCTCTGAGTTCTTCTGTGAGCCAATGATTGGGTCATTGGAAACTCTGATCTATAGCCAGTCAGTCAGAATCAGAGGTGACAATCTGGCCTTGCAACTGGCATCTGAAATGGGGGTGGGAGTATGAAGAGGGGTGGTCTTGCAGAACTGAGCCCTCAACCTGTGGGAGCTGATGCTATCTCCAGCAGACAATGGCAGAACTGAGTTGAATAGCAAGACACCCATCTGGTACAGGAGAACTGCTTGTTGGTGTGTGGAAACCACACCCCACATTAGAAGTGGGTTCAGAACCCTTTGAGAAATCCACCCAAAGCCAGGCTAGTCTCCATTTCCACGTTATCTAAAAAGCACAGATGCAATAAGGGCCAATAAACTCCCTGCCATTTGTTCTATAGCTTGACCATATGAAAGTGAGTGGCTGAATACCAGCAGCTTCAAATGGTTCAACGTAATTCGAAGGAGCAATAGGTTGGGAGAGACACTGGTAGGATTTGAGGAGATGGCCCTTCAAAATTGGTATGGGTTAGGAAAGTTATTTCTCTCAAGTCAAACTGCAGTTCCTCTCTGTTTAGTAAGCCCACTTCAAATTGATGAGGAAGACAGCATCAGTATCATCATAAACATAAACAAATACCATGGGTTCTCTCACTGTGAGAACTTGAATGACTTAGCTCACCTGTCTGCTTATCTATTCACTCAATAGCCATTTTCTGAATGCCTTCCACTGCCAAGTATTATACTAATCACTAGGAAAAAGTCAAGATCTCTTGTCAAGAGAAAATGATAGGCGTGTAAGTAATCAAGCGCAGTAGAGTATATACACACAGAGGTTTCCTCAGGGTAATATGAGCACATAAAGGAGGGACTGAGACAGGAGGAGTGGAAAGAAAAGAAACCAGAAAAACTTCCCCAAGATGTCTTGAAAGTTGCCTGTAATTTTGCCATGCTGGCTCAGGAAAGTAGAAAAGGGCAGGCAGCTATTTCAGTATGTATTAAAAACACGGAAGAAGGAAACAATGTGGTGCTTTGGACAAAGGGTTAAGTATTTCAACAGACGGAACAAGCAGTAAGATTGGATAGAAAAACAAGCAAGGGAAAGGTCACAGTGGGGAGCGAGGACGGCTGCAAGCCAGGCTGAGAAGAGCAGCCTTCACCCCGCTGGCAAAGGAAGCCCTTGGAGGGCATTTAAGCAAGCAGGCAAGGAACAAGATCGACTTTGCACAGTAATATTACTAGGGCAGCAGTGGAGACAAAAGGACAGAATTGTGCACGTGTGGAGACAGAAAGACTGTTTTAAAAACTACTAAACATAAGAAGGATAAAAAGGACCTGATCTAAGTCAGGAGCAGTGGAAATGGAAAGGAAACGGCAGACAGGAACAGGGCCAAGGCAGAAGGAAACCACTGAGGATGATTCATTTTTTGGATAAGGAACAGGGTGGCTGGTTTTGCATTTCTCCACATAATGAAAGAGAAGCAGGCTTGTCAGTTACTGGGGCACATAAGTGGTAACTAGAGCTGTGGGAGGAGGCTTCACGAAAGGCAATATTAATGGAATGGAAAGAAGAGCTGGAGAAGAGAAGGTCACCTGCAATCGGAATGGCAGGTAATATCAGCTAAGGGCGCCAATGAGCTCTGAGCTTCACATGGACCATCTCAGTGAAACCCCATTTTACAGATAAAGAAACATACTGGCTTAGAAAGGTCTGGCGAATCACCCAGGTGACCAGCAAGCAAGCGAGTAGCAGAGCTGGCACTTGAACACAGGCCATGGGACTGTGGGCTCTTAACTGTGGGCTCTACACAGCCTCCCAAAGGCAAAAAGAAAATCCAAAGGTGATGGAATGGAAGACAAAGGAGAAAAATGTTCCAAGGAAAGGAAGAAAAGGCAGTGCCCGAACCATAGGGCAATCAAGTAAGTGGGAAGATGGAAAAGGGTCCACTGGATTTGGCAACTAGGAGGTCTTTGGTGGCGGTAAAAGCCTGATTGGA